TGGTCGTGTTGATTCGAGTTGGTTTGGTCATATTGGATCACACTTATTAGTTCATTCGTGTTGATACGTTCGTATTGGTTCGGTTGTGTTCGTTTGATCGCGTTGATTCGTTCAAGTTTGTTCATTCAAGTTGGTTCGGTTTGTTAGTTCAGTTGTGTTCATTTGGTCGTGTTGATTCAAGTTGGTTCGTTCAAGTTGGTTCGATCATATTGGGTCGCGCATATTAGTTCGTTCATGTTGATACGTTCGTATTGGTTCGGTTGTGTTCGTTTGATCGCGTTGATTCGTTCAAGTTTGTTCATTCAAGTTTGTTCTTTCAAGTTGGTTCGGTTTGTTGGTTCATTTGTGTTCATTCGGTCGAGTTGATTCGTTCAAGTTGGTTCGTTCGTATTGGCACAGCCAAGTTGGTTCGACCATATCAGTTCATCCATATCGGTTCGGTCTTGTTGCTTCGCTCGTACCAGTCCGATCGTGTCGGTTCACTCGTGTGACGCTCGTTTTCCGCTGCAGAGGCGGCTGAAGTTGATCCCAACTCCCACACGCTAATTATATATAAAATAAATCGATGGACAGCGAGAATCCACCTGGGATATTTTAGGAATTGTATATTTTACAGATTCATAGTTTCCTAGAAGTTACGTCACCTTACTATACATATTCAAACATTCTGCTTCAGTTCTCTTTCTCTCCTTATTTTAAGCATTCTCAGTATCCCAAATCTTTCATAGAATTCATCTAAAAATCTCAGACTACGAGTCAACTTTCCAGTTAAGCAGAATCTAATCATTCCATCGCAACCAGAACTCATCCAATCAACTTACAGCAACTATATATCACAATTAAACCTACACCTCTTCCAACAGAAATAATCTCCAACACAAGTAAATCTCAAAAAATTGCAAAAACCATCAATTTAAAAAGATCGCAAACACAACCATGCCTCGCAGGCACACAACTGAAATGCTGTTTACCAGCGACCTCCTCGTCGAACATAGAAAACAGGCGATCGTACGAGAAAGGCAAAAGGAACACGTGAAACGTCAGCGTCTCTCCGACGGAGAGAATATC